TATATATATATATATATATATATACAGAAACAGAGAGTAAATACAGGGAGAAAAAAAGGCTCAAAGTATTTCAAACTCAACAATATGACTGTATCTATAAAAAGAGAATGTTCAGACAGCTGCAAACTTGCTCAAGTTTGGCCAATGTACGTAGAGCCAGTCTACAATAATCATTAAATTTCTACACAACCTACAGCAGGCTTTTGCAGCTGTTGATCAAAACATGCTTACTGCCTGAGTCTAACAGTGTAACCTATATAGGAGATGTGAAAAAAGGAAAGAAAGAAAAAAACAAAGTCCAGACTAATGCTGCTTTGTTACAGAAACTCTTGGCCAGATCACCACATTTATGGCATATCCTTCAGTTTCAAGTGACAGCTTAATTTAAAAATTTACTCATCTGTGTCTTATACATATTGTGGATTTGTTATGCTATAAACTAAATACGATGCAGTGGTGTGTAGAGATGGGAATCAAAAACTGGTTCCTGTTCAGAACCATATCCGTGTGTTCCAGTTCCATGGCACCGTTTGGCAGCTCGCTTAACGATTCTCTTAATGATTCCAGGCAGCACCAGAGCCGCGCTGGGCAGCACGACTTACGTCATGTTTTTTTACGCAAGTTACGCACATGGCATTCAGTAATTATTAAGTACGACTTGACCAGGTGAAGAGTAGAAAAGCAAAACAAAAGCGCTCAAAGCGATCGAAAGTTTGGCTTCTTTTTTAAGGGAGAGAAAGATGGCAACAAGGCACTTTGCAATCATTGGACAGTGGCAATGACATCCGCGGTAGGAATTTATCTAGAAACACCTGCACACACATCAAGGCATACATTTTAACAAATGCCATGTTTTTGATGCCTTCCAGACAGAAGCTAAAGTTACGACCGGCATGGAAGGCAACTCTGATGGTAAGTAGCTAGTTTTATATCACTGGCTGTGCTTAATGTGTTTCCTAGTAAATCAGATGCCATTTCTGGGAATAAACCAATTTCCTTAAACATGCTACGAAGTTGCTCCGCAGTTCAGGGAGCAAGAGAAAGGTGATGCTCATTTATTTAAATCAGGGGGAGATGAGTTTATTCCCTGAAATTGTACAGTAATGCTTTTTCATTAAACGGATGCCTTCTCCATTAGATTTAGATGACGAGACGGGTAGCCTGGATGGCTCAGAGAATGGCAGCTCCCGTTCACTGTCTTCTGTTTTCACTGAGGCAGACAGAAATAAAATGTCCCAGGCGAAGGTGGACGAATGTCACCGTGCACTAACCAAGTTCATTGTTTCACAGAATCGATAAGAGAATCGATAAGAGATTTGATAAGGAATCGAATCGTTTCACAGAATCTATAAGGGAATCGGAATCATGAAAATCTTATTAATTCTCACCTCTAGTGGTGTTAGACCATATGAAACTGAAAAAGTGAATCTGTTCTGTATGTCTTTTTGTGAAATTAATTGCATCTCTTATTTAAAAAAACAGACTTAAAGATGGAAATAACGATTCCACTTTAAATCAAGGATGGCTACAAAACTGGTTTTAAAGAACGTCCATTCATCAAATTCAAATAATACCAAACAGTTAGAACTAGTTAAGTCATATCTGGGTTTCTAATTTAGAAGTTTAGACAAATATCATCGCTATCTTAGAATATATTTGTGCAAGGTTTTACCAGAACCATCAAACCCTGTCCCTCGTGACAAAATTAAACTGTACTTAGAAGCAATTTTGGATACATTTTTGTGAGGGAGCAGTAAATGGAGATGTAGCCTTGAAATAAAAGCACTGTATATACGTACCAACACATTCTGCCCTACACTTATATTGCTACAGTGACAATACGCCAGATTACAGTTGATCTCTGTTTATGCTTTTTGTTTTTGGTCTTAACTCTTTACTAAATCAAGCCACATGTGCTCATTCAACCATATTTTCTTATTCAATACACTAAGTGCACATTGCTGCCAGTCACACAAGCTGCAGATGCTAAATACATGGGCGAGCAAATTGGGTCTCTGCATCTTCCCTGACAAATGGACTGAGATAATCAGCAAATGAATAATTGATGCTCTGATTGGAGAACGACTGATTTATTGCTTAAGCAGCTACTAACCACTAATTATTACAGTCGCCGTTCCTGATGTTGAATGACGTCAAACTGTCAGGCTATAAATAATGTTTAGAACAACTTTGAATAAGACATAATAAATACGCTTTAAAATAACTCAAAGACAGTAAGCTAAATGTTAGTTTTCTTGATGAATATGTGCAATACAATGCCAGTTAACGCAGTCTTAATCATACCTTTTCATGTTTAAAAGACATTTTTTTCATATTTGGCCAAGCTCAAACAGAAACACAAAGTTCAGATGATTAAAAACAACAAAATGGAGAAAGACTGACTGACTTACGGAGAGCATGCCACTCATCCTGACGTATGGTCTTTGTGATGTTGATAGGTAAATTCCGTGGAAGAATCGACGATGAATAGTGATACTTGACTGGGGTGCATCTATGAATTATTCCTGTTAAGAAGACAAAATAAAAAACACAGTTATAACTGGAGCACTAAGGAGCGAAATGAAGTCAGAATTGCATTCCAAACCTTTGTTCTGTTTTTCATGGATAATACGATGATGTGTGCACAAACGTAACATTTATTTTTCACCCTGTCTGAGTTTTCATTTTCTGAGCTGGCCCGTTTAACCTTGTTTTTCCCCCACTCCAGCATAGTAATTAAAGAGGGATTAGGAAACAATGTGGTATATGGATTATACTCCCAAATGTCTCCTATGTAAATGCTCTGATTTAAAGTGAATCTTGTCATATTTTTGCATACATTTGGTTTTTAGACTCCATCTCTATAATCCAGTCTTTCCTGCAGTCTCTGAGCAAAGCAACATTTTATCTATTTAAATAAGGACCTTTTTTTGAAAATAACAAAAGAGCAAATTTGAAAGCTTTATATTTTCTTGAAAAGTTCCCAAATTCAGACAATTTGTTTCTCAAAACCACAGCCCTCCAAAACATAGTTTATAGCTTTTCTTTTTTAATCTATGGGATCTTTTAGGTTTTATATGATAGCTTTATTATACCACATGGCGCTTTTAAAGTGCTTTCCAAACACAATTTGGTACAATTGGAAGCAATTTGACATCATTAAAGGTTAGCTATAGACATTTACTCTGATAAAGGAAAAGTCTGGATCTTTTCAGTGAACCTCCTTCATATTTTATCAACAGCCAGTATATTTTCTGTAGCACATAGCTGTCTAAACTCTCTCAGTTCGTAGAAGCAGACATGTTTTTGGGCTGTGGTACGAAGCCGGAGTACCCAGAGAGAACCCATGCATGCTCAGGGAGAACATGCAAACTCCATGCAGAAAGACCCTGGGCCGGGAATTGAACCGGGAACCTTCGTTACATGTGGGTTTCTTTACTAAAGTTACAATTTGCAAAATATAACTATGAGGACTAAATCATGCAGGGAGAAGAAGGTACCTTATGAGGGTCTTTTCACAAAACTGTTTTGCAAAACTGCAACAAACATACATGCCCCGGACTTTTCTAAACCAAGGCAGATGTGTTCTGTCATTGTGTGTCCTTAAATATATGAAACTGACATCAAAATACAAGTAACTGGGAACAAAATTTGTAGTTGTAAAAAAGGGCTTTTACTAAGCCCTCTTTCCAAATCTACTCGCCAACTTAGATTTGATTCAACCCACATTTTCTCCAAACACAAAACCCCAGTACATTTCAAACCAAACAAGACCCTTAAACAGAGACCAGTACATCCTAAGGACAAAACCCCAGACCAAATATGAGCGGAGTGGTGTATGCAGTTCAATGCACTTAGGAATGCTCAGATCTTTATATTGGAGAAACCAAACAACCTTTCCACAGAAGAATGGCCCTACACAGAAGAGCGACATCCTCTGGACAAGACTCTGCTGTACATCTACACCTTATGGACAAAGGACGTTCTTTTGAGGACCAAAATATTTACATTTTGGACAAAGAAAATAGGGGGTTTGAGAGGGACATGAAGGAAGCCATCTATGTTAAGAAAGCAAACTAACCTTAAACAAAGGGGGTGGATTGAGATTTCAGCTTTCAAAAACCTACAATGCAGCAATTGAGTTGATCCCTTCCCGCTATCATCGCAACCCCAACTCCCGTAGAGGAGAGCAGAAGAACCTCAACTATTCAGCCAGGCCAACAATTCCCTTTAACGACCCCCCTTTCAGAGACTTAGATGGGTATGGGACATTTTTTGGAAGGACTATGACCTAGATGACTGAGAATCTTCAACAACCCACATTGGTATAACAGGAGTAGGTAAACTTCTATCAACCTTACATCTTTGGAAAAGATCAGGGTCATGTTTTTTGGTTGAGTAATGAAAGGGAAAGTTCACAGCTGATAAAAAGATTCAAAGACTTCAACTGTATGAAAAACATCAACATTCCAAAAATGGCAGAAAATATTGATAACTGGGAGTCTCTGTCCCTCATTATTTAATTTTATATTCATTTTTCAAAAAGTGCTGTTGAGAAAGTTGCACTGCACACTTATATAACAGTCTGCACGTGTTGAGGTAGTGTATAAAACAAAGCTGCATTAATTGGTATATACAGTATGTGAACTGTGAGAGTTGCGGCTGATGCTTTTAGAATACATCAATGCACTGTTAACCTCTGCTAAAAAGAATTAGAAAAATATGTATGTATATATACACAAATTAATGCCATTAAGCATAGGGCAGTCAGTGGTCACTTTAATGTAATCCCTTGACAATTACTTCTGTAATTTCAGGGTAAAAATATATTTTAATCTGAATTAGTTAATCTTAAACACAAATCAGAATAATCCACACTGATAAATTGTCGTTAAATGGGAACACTCTAACAACATTAATTAGAACAATATTAGACAAATGCTAATTATTCTTAAGTCTACATTGCTTTTATTTACATATACATGCATTTTCAATGCATCTCTGCATATGATAAAAGATGTTAATTAATTTGCATTTCCTTTGTTTTTAGCTCTAAACCAGATTCAGAAAAAATTTGGTTAAAAGAGGGGACCTGTGTGTTTGCTATTGTATGAGTAATTTCATCTTCAAATTTACTGTCCACCTAGTGACAACAATAGCAGTCAGATTTGCCTACATAACACATTATTAATCTTGTGAAATCAAAAACAACCGTGGTATTTTATTATGTTTAAAACAGGGACCAGTTTTAATCTGTGGTATCCCAATGAACTCATTAAGATTGGTATTATATGAAAAAAAGAGAAAGAAATATTTAAAAGAATGCCAAACCTACAAATGCAGCTAAATGTATTCTAAATGTTCTAACAATTATTTAGCTAACTAAGCTTTAAGGTTATATGCTGTAGAAAACCATGCTAACATCCTGGATGACTGAGAACATAATAATATTTGTAGCATACAACTAACATCATGAGTTGTTGAAGGAGACATTTTTTCATAAGGTCACCTGATCAATAGAGGTTTGTATGATCTAGCTAAAAGCATTTCAGAAGATGAACCTACGTTTTTTAAAGCTAGTAGTATATGATAAGAAAATCCTTAAACTGTGCACATGATTATTTTTGTAACTGACTACATTTAAATAAAAATGACATTGCATTTCTCTGGAATCCAAAAGGTTAATTGATTCAAAATCCTCCACATATGACATTTAAAAAAAAAAAATATATATATATATATATATATATATATATATATATATATATATATATATATATATATATATATATGTATATATATATATATTAGTTGCTGCTGTTTCTACAAGCATACTTGGAAACCACTGATTTCTATTCCAGTTTGTTTCTTCCAGCACCATGGACAGCGGTCAGTCACAGCACAGTCAATTACCAACCAATTAATACAATTTTAACGCGGACACCAATCACCATAAGAAACCAATCACCTTAAGAAACCAATCACCATGAGATGAATCCGAAATGCTGTTTTTCTATCAGCTTAGATGTGAGCTCATCGCCGAGCATCTCGGCCTGCTGCTCACCAGCAGCCAGAGCTCCAGTGTTTACCTTTGTAAATAAGGTCCTCAGTCTCCAGGTCGAATCCTTCCCGGTGACACTTCCTCCAAAGCCCGGAGACGGTAGAGTTGAACTGCCGGCTGCAGTGAGACTCCATGGCAGACGCCGCGGGCAGAAAGTGCCGCTTCCCTCTTAGCAGAGGGGCAGCATCTGGCCCGCTCTTAGGAGGCATCTGGAGGGGGAGGTTGTGGTTGGAAATGTAAATGTAACCCGGGTCGTTCCTCTTGTTGGCATAGTTTTTGCACCTCTCTCGGTGTCTCCTGGCGTCGGTCTCGTACCAATAGTCGGTGCAGATTGCCATGGCGAGGAGACCCAGCGCGCAGAAAGCCAAGAAAAGCCCTGCGCTGGTTAATATTTTCATAGCGGCCATCTTCCTTTGCTTGGTGGAGAGCCCAAACAGTGGCAAGAAGGTTCCTCCGTGGCCGTGGTGGTGGTGGGTTTGCTGGTACCGGCGTGAAACAATTCACGACGGCACTCAGAGCTTTCTGCAGTCCTAAACTGGGAGCATGATGCTTCAACGCCGGAGCGGAGTGGAAAGGATGCTGCGGTCTATTGTTGAGGTGCCCGGTGCATGAAATGTTGTTCCCACCATCTGTTATGGTACAGGAGGAGGAGAGGGGATGGATGGCGACCAACGCTGTGAGGAGGAGGCAGGGGCAGTGATGTAGTTGCGCTGTCTCTCCTCCAGGTTGCTGCGGGATGGAGAGCGCTATTTGTTTTGCATGGGTGAACACTTTCTATCTATCTAATTAAAAATTAGATGTAAACATTTTTTAAATAAAGGGTAAGTCAATAAATACTAAACTAAACCAAATGAAACTTATTTTATATATGGTTACACGGTATCTTGTCTTTTACATCCCTTTGCATTTGAAATGGAAACATAAGTTATATATTAATTTGAAAACCGTGTAGCCTATATGAAAAGCAGAAAAAAATTATTTATTATGTACATTCCTAGTCAGAACTACATGTATTCTTCATCCTAAATGTCATTCCTAAAGTGGACTTTAAATAAAGAAAAGTTGACCATGCTTTATTTTTTAGAGCAAAATGGCCAATAACTTCAATGAGTTATTGTTTAGGTTTGGTTTTTATTTTGATAAAAACTTGTGTAAACTCAAATAATCTATGCAGGGAGTGGGTAAATAATAAATGACAAATGCAAAAAGGGGCAGGCAAATTTACTTTGAGGGTGGTGGTGGTGGTGGGGGGGGGGGTATGCCTGGATTTTGGGGTATCATTTTGACCCTGCTTAGATCAGATCAAATCCACTGTCAATTCTATCTGAATTGACAGTAACTACAGTCGAAGGTAATCTGATATTGTTCAGAAAACATCTAACTTACGTCTTTCCACTTTGCATACTGTAGATGGGTTATTAAGGTTGATGATTTTTTTTCCAAGTTTTTTGTTTTTATCAAGTTAGCTTTTCAATATTTTGTTCTGCACACACCCAAGTAGATAACGTTTGGAGATAGAGTTCAGATCAAGCCAAGAAATGTGATCTTATTTAAATAGTTCTATAGAAATCACAGTCCGGTAAAAACGCACAAGCACAAACGCACTTTCACGTCCAATTGCATTAGCTGTTGCAAGTTTCACAGATAAAGTGGGGATTATAGTTTGTTCCAAAATACCAGATCTAAAGTGGTCTATTTGTTTTATGTGGCTAAATAATTTCCTTTCTTGTGCTTAGAATAAGAAAGTATTTTTGACTCAAAATAATTAGATAGAGGTCTGACCTATGTCCAAAAGAAACTATTTTAAGACTGTCAAAGATGTCAAAATCTGTTTAAAACTATTGAGGAAGGTAATCAAGTTTTATCTTTGGGAGAAAAATATGCTAAAAAAAATCCAGCTATTTGCATTTTATATAATTTCAAATCTTTGGAGCTATCCCATTAACTAAATTGAGCAACATATGACAATGAAGACCTACAGTATGTATGCATGCATGTGTTTGAAGATGGCTCTGCCTAAATGTAAAATTTCAGATTTTACATTGCAGATAAAGTTAACCTCTCATGCAGTTAATGTACCGGTAACAAATCTTGCTTAACTGAATTATTGTGGGGAATTCTAATATTTAATATACACTGCTCAAAAAAAATTAAAGGAACACTTGAAACACATCAGATCTCAATGGGGCAAAAAATCATGCTGTTTATTGATATTTATATGGACTGGGTGATATGTTAGGTACAAAAGGATGCCACATCATTTGATGGAAATGAAAATTATCAACCTACAGAGGGCTGAATTCAAAGACACCCCAAAGATTACAGTGAAAAAATGATGCGGCAGGCTAGTTCATTTTGCTGAAATTTCATTGCAGCAACTCAAAATGGTATTCAGTAATTTGTATGGCCTCCACTTGTGTGTATGCATGCCTGACAACGTCGGGGCATGCTCCTAATGAGAATGGATGGCGTCCTGGGGTATCCCCCCCTCAGATCTGGACCAGGGCATCACTGAGCTCCCGGACAGTCTGAGGTGCAACCTGGCGGCATCGGATGGATTGAAACAATGTCCCAGAGGTGTTCTATTGGATTCAGGCGAGCATGGGAGCCAATCAATTCCTTCATCCTCCAGGAACTGCCTGCATATTCTCGCCACATGAAGCCGGGCATTGTCGTGCACCAGGAGGAACCCAGGACCCACTGCACCAGCATAGGGTCTGACAATGGGTGCAAGGATTTCATCCCTAATTTCAGTCAGGGTGCCGTTGTCTAGCCTGTATAGGTCTGTGCACCCCTCCATGGATATGCCGCCATGTTCTTCACAGCTTCTCCAGACCCTTTCACGTCTGTCACATGTGCTCAGGGTGAACCTGCTCTCATCTGTGAAAAGCACAGGGTGCCAGCGGCGGACTTGCCAATTCCGGTGTTCTTTGGCAAATGTCAGTCGTGCTCCACGGTGCCGGGCAGTGAGCACAGGGCCCACTAGAGGACGTCGGGCCCTCAGGCCACCCTCGGGAAGTCTGTTTAGTCTGGTAGCGTTCCTCCAGCTCCTCCTTACACAAAGGAGCAGATACCGGTCCTGCTGATGGGCTGTAGACCTTCTACGGCTCTGTCCAGCTCTCCTGGAGCAACTGCCTGTCTCCTGGAATCTCCTCCACGCTCTTGATATTACGCTGGGAGACACAGCAAACCTGGCAATGGCACGTATTGATGTGGCATGGAGGAGTTGGACTGCCTGTGCAATCTCTGTAGGGTCCAGGTAGCACCTCATGCTAATAGTAGTGACAGTGACCCTAGCCAAATGCAAAACTGGTGAAAAAGAGTCAGAAAAGATGAGGAGGGGGAAAAAATGTCAGTGGCCTCCACCTGTAAAACCATTCCTGTTTTGATGGTCGTCTCGTTGTTGCCCCTCTAGTGCACCTGTTGTTAATTTAAATAACACCAAAGCAGCTGAAACTGATTACAAACCCCCTCTGCTACTTACCTTACCAAATCAATATCCCAGAAGTTTAATTAACTTGATGCTATACTCTGATTACAAGGTGTTCCTTAAATTTTTTTGAGTAGTGTATAATGAAATAAATTGATATTTAATTTCAGAAGACAGAGACTGGAAGTAGACATATGTCTCCATAGTCTATGAGGGATCATAAAAACAATCCAGCTGCAGGACATTCTTTGCAGTAATGGCCAAATTTCCTTTTTATTCCTCAGATATGCTGTCAAAGACTGCAAATAAGTTAGTATAGGTTTAGAAAATAGACCAACTTCTATGTAAAGCTATGAAGTCCCTGGTGAAAACTTTATTTCACTTTTTTTTTCCAATGTGCTGTGCTTTCTGCTCAACACAAAGAAAATGGTAGTTTTGGGGCGAAGACTTTGAGAATAGGTGCCTCAATAAATTCATGTAGCCATGTTTCTGTTAAAAAAACAACAACTTATGGCCAGCAGTTAAATCAATGATTTAAAAACATGATTTTCCTGTTAGATCTAATGTTTGATAAAGCCAATTTATTTAATTTAGTGGCTGACATTAACTGCATGTCTGAATGTTTATGACAATTTATGGCTTTTGAATTTGATAATTCATTACTGTCTCTTAACCTTTCAGCTTTGTTCTTTCTGTCATGAATTAGCATTCAAATTTTAAAATTATCTCCCACTTGGGGCTTAAGTTTTTCCTGGAAATAATCAGATAGAGGTATCCACTGGGGCATAGTCTGTAGTACAGAGATATCTGAACATGATTCAATTGAGTATTTAAGGGTTTAACATGCAGCTTTTATGGAAAACATTAACAGCAATGAACTTTTCTTTCATTCAGTTATGCTACAGCCTTTTTCCAAAGGGTTTTAAATTGAGATCTTTTTTCTGTGGACATTTTCAGAGATGGCACATCACATCTCCCATCCCTTCAGTCATAGCCACCCATCTAAATGGATAGGATAAGAGAATCATTACTCAGTTAAACAGGAAAGTGGTTCATGGAACATTTAGAGGAGCTCACGGCTAATAACCACAACTAAGATGGAAAAATATGTTGACAAAACAGACTCTACAAATCCTATCAAATTAGGTAATCTAGTTAGATGACCGTAAAATTGAACTTGTTGACAGATGTACAAAGTCTGTACAACAAAAGAATAATATTGCACATTATCACAAAGGGGTGATGTGCACTATAGTCGTTGTAGAGGCTACAGCTGATTTGAACCTGAAATAGAGATTACCCTCCAACAAGAAACAGATGTAAAAATACAACAAGAATAAACAGAATCAAAATGAGGCACAATTTTCTGGGGTTTACTTGTGGGTTTACATTTTTTTTCTTTGTTTTACTGTTATTTCAAAGTTGGAAAATTGTAATTCTTTAGTATCAGGAAGTCCACAAACTGTAGTTAAGAGACTCATGTTAGACTCATCTCATCCAAAATTGCTGCAGCCAGAGTTCTGAGGAAAATTAAAAAGAGAGTTCATATCTCTCCTATCCTATGTTCGGTTGTTACTGAAGATGTGTGAGTTTATTACACCCTGGTGTTGGCTGCCTGTTGTGCGTCAGAACTGATGTTTTCTACAATAGTTAATCTAGTTAAGACAGTCCCTTTGTCTGGATATACAGTACAGTTATAATCCTTATTTTGTAAGTGACAAAGATTTGGAAATGGAATGAGAGCAGTGTCCTTGAGCTAAGAACAAAGTGTAATATTTTGATAAGGCTGTAACCATGGATATCTACTCATCTGCTAACGTGTATGATGTAAAGTAAGATGATGTGGCAGACTGGAGATGTATAAAATGTCTTTATAACTGTTAATCGGGGCCCCTTACTGAGGTGAGCAGCTTACATTCTGCAAACTCTAAGCCAGGTATCCCCAAACTCGGTCCTCAAGCCCCCTGTCCTGCAGGTTTTAGAGGTTTCTCTGCTTCAGCACAGCTGGTTATAATGATTGCAGTAGACCAAAAGCCTGTTAATCAGCTTTCAATTAAAATCAGCTGTGCTGGAGCAAGGAAACCTCTAAAACCTGCAGGGCATGGGGCCTTGAAGACCGAGTTTGGGGATGCCTGCTCTAAGCAATTTCTCTGACCTGAGTAGGATCACAATTTCTATCAGAATCTGTTGTCATGTCTCCTGGTTTTTTAATAAATATAAGTTATGAAGTGTTATTTAAAGAGTTATGATCTCTTTTCAGGGAAAAGAAACCGAGAGATACAGTAGAGCGTGAAGGTGCATACACAGAGCCTATCTTTAACACTTAGCTTCTCTTCATTGGCTTCCTGTTAAATCCAGAAAAGAATTTAAAATCCTCCTCCTCACATAGAAAGCCTTAAATGGCCAAGCTCAATCTTATAACAGAGCTCTGATTGTACCTTATGTTGCTAACAGAGTCCTTTCCTCTCAATCGGCAGGTTCACTAGTGGTTCAGGCAGATTTTTTAGTTGTCAGCGTCCTCTCCTATGGAACCAACTACCAGTTTTAGCCCATGAGGGAGACACCCTGTCTTCTTTTAAGGCTAGGCTTTAAACTTTCCTGTTTGATAAAGCTTATAGTTGACAGAGGTTATCCAGCGCTATCTCTATAGTTATGTTGCTATAGGCTTAGACTGCTGGAGGACATAGGGACCCCTTTTCATCATTTTGCTTACGGTAATTTTTTTTTTTCATCTGGTCTGGTTCTGTTTGCCTGTGACACTATACCTGAGAGAAATAAAAGCTGTGCTGCTGCCATCAACACCTTTATTCATAGAGTGTAGAGTTGGCCTGTTTTTCAGTGTAGTTCTGTTTCTCTGACTGTGACTGGCTGGATGTGCTCTCTTCATGCTCTGACATGGGAGCTGGCTTAGAGTTCGTCTTCCTGGCTGTGTGTTTCCTGGACAGGGCCGCCTGTGAAGCTAGTTGACAGTTGCCTTTTGTATCTCTGCTTCTTTCTGTATGTCGGCTTGTCTCCTTGAACCCCAGTCAGCCTCGGCAGATGGCCGCTCACACTGACTCTGGTTCTGTTAGAGGTTTCTTCCTGTTAAAAGGGAGTTTTCCTCTCCATTGTTGTTGCAAGCATACTTGGCGTGATGGATTGTTTTCGAGTTAATGAGTTGTTGAACTTTAAATCAGTTTGACTGTATGATCTAGCTCTATATTAATAAACTGAATAGAATTTCTCTTCAAATGCAGAAGTGAAATGCACTTTAAATGCAATGCAGAACTTTGCAGTGATCTTTCACACGTATTTCTAATAAAAAGATTGAAGTTTGTGTTTTTAAAGTCGTGAAAATGTCTAAGCAATATGAAACCTTTTTAAAAGGATTGTACATTAAAGAGGTTCACCTTGGTTTTTTTTTAAAGTCACATTTCAAAAAAGTAAAAAAATAAACAATCCACTGGACTTTGTTTCCAATATTGAAGACGTTTTGCTTCCCGTCCAGGAAGCTTTTTCAATTTAAACCAGACATAGCATGGTGTTGCTTTATGCAGTAGCTCAACAAAGCCTTGTTTTTGCTTAGACAATATTCAAATTTAGAATGGGGTCGTTTGGCTCTTTTATTAGCCTGCAATATGATGGTGACAGTCACATTTAATTGACATTTTCTCAGCATTGTCTGATTCTAAATAAAGTGAAGATAAAATATCTTGAAAAACAAGGGTGTATTCTTTTATGATTTCATTCTATTCAGTTCAAAAATGCATTATTAATGCCAAAGGGAAAAATATATATATATATATATATATATATATATATATATATATATTGCAAATTTAGGTGGTTTATCAACGTAAACACATCCATTGATCTGAACTAAACGTTGGCAGTTAGAACCTGGAAAGCTAATCTTGTTAATGTCCTGGCAGGTTTAATAATGGTTCACAGTGCTCCTGGTTGACTTCTTTTATTATTACTTGCATATACTCAATGTCTTTTTGTACCTGTATCAGCACAAATTAGAAACCCATGCCACATATCTAAAATTCCCAGGGAAACTATTTTCTAAAACTTCAACATGTAAATCTCCTTCCAGAACTTTTAAAACTTGAACCAAACGATGACAGTATAAGAACAGGAATGTACCATCTGCCTCTGCGTTTACTCCGTTTTCTGCTCTATGCCTCTTGCTGCAGTGTAAGCGGTGATACTTGTTTTTATGTGCTGTGACTGAAGAAGGCTCCCACAGACATTAAGCTGCTTGGAGCCTGATGACTAAGGAAGGCGACCTGCTGTTGAGTCGTTATGGCATTATACGCTTGCCAAATACACTGCTGAAACTGGAAAATGTGTGAACAGTCATTGCCCCCTCCGCCTTACTTCCATATGACAACCTATCACCCTTTGCAGTAGGATTATTCTAAACGTGAAAATTTTTACGCAGAAAGGTCAGTTTTATGAGATCTACCTGATCCTCTTAACTCAACCGCTGTAGAGTCAAGGCAATGCTGCCTGTGCTTAGTTGAAAAGGGGAGAGAAACGGCATACAACCTGGACAGGCCACCCGTTTTTTTTGTTTTTTTTTTACAGGGCAGCACAAATACAGAAATATGATGAACACCACCACACACACACACACACATACTTGCACCTTAGGCTAGTTTTAACTGACCTGCTAAGATAAAATACATGTTGATGGGCGGTGGGAGAAGGAAGGCACTTGAGCGTATGACCTTCTTGCAGCAAAGCAGCAGGACTTACAATTACAGCCCTAAATCACCTAATAGTACTAGATATAGATTCTGTCACCAACACAGTGAATGCTATCTAATCACAGGATTTTTAAACAATGATGAAAGCTATTCCAGATACCCAACATTTTTGACACTTTTTTTTTTACTACGGTAAATAAGAAAACTGTTTAATACTCATTTACTGAAAAAATATCTTCCAATGTTTTCAGTTTTAATTACAAAAACTTAAAAAATCGAAAAAGAAAATAAAAAGGTGGGAGAAAAAAGACCAATGTGCCTGCAATAGACCTATGGACAGATGAATGAATGGAGCGATAGATTAAATAATAGATGGATAAATGAATGAATGAAACATCTAGGGAGTGAGACGGAAAGAAGTCTATAAATGAAATATAGTTTTCTTAAAATATTTTCTTTTTACACACCTATCTGAAACTGGCAGATTACTTTTTTATATATTTCTATAGTATTTCAAATCTTTGCAACTCAGACTTTTTTTCCTGCAATAGAAACATAAATGCTTTCACACAATTGTCTAAAATGTGAAGTTTATTTCTTCTTCTTCAAAAAAAAAACAACCTTTTAAAACATGTAATTTCCCTTGTTTTCCACTTTCTAAACCTGCATCTAATCTCCAATACTAATGTTAGTAAATAAGATAACACAAGTATTCATGTATAAGTTTAACACAAACTGTTCTTCAGGCTGAAAGCTGTATTAAGCTCCGAAGGTGCAGGCTACACTGCGTGTGGAAGGAAAACAGATGAAGGTGGGAAAAAGAAAAACACTGATAACTAATTATTCTCAATAACTGGTATTTGATTAAAGCACACTGCAAAAACGGGTGATGAAAAATATTTTCATTGTGTATTCAGAAGCAAACGCCAATGACAACACCGATTTAAAAAAATTAGATGTAGCTCTTTGCTCTGTGCAAGAAATACCTCCTATTGAGATCAAGAGTCGTCTTTTGTACCTGGTAGTGAATGTATGTGCAAAGCATCATGATTGTCTAAAAGACAGTTTGGTAACAGATTTCCATATAAACTTTGTTTTTTTTTTATCCTTGACCATTCCTTATGGCGCATTTCAAAGTGTCCACCCATTAATGTCCCGTCCTATCTGTCTTATCAAAACAGTCTTTCCTTTCAGTCATCTGTAAATAAAGTGCTATACTTTTTTAAGATATTTGCTCTAGTGCTCCATGACAGCGATGACAGAGAGCCTTGAAAGAATCCGCCTCTTTATCTGGATGATGGTTCAAAGAATAAGAGGCTGGTGCAGAGGAAAAAATATCTCCAGTAGTAGTGTTTGTTAAGGTGGGAGAGTTGTCTTCCCCCATGTTCAGTCAACAATGGCTGAGAGGAAAACCATGGTACCCATCCCGCAGAAAATGAGCAGCATTTGCACCAGGGAGTGTCTAAAAAGAAAAAGAAATACCAATTTACAAAGTTGTGAACATACCTTTTACATAAAAAAAAAAATACTTGTTGGAGTTTTTTGTAAACTATTCCTAATACAGTTAGGGAAATGGACAGAATACACATTTTATTGAATGTAGTGGAATGTCCACCTTAACCCCTACATAGAGAACTATATAGTGGTTGCGCCATTTTATATGAGCATCCAACTGTCTAGTGGATGGAAAAGTAGTTAACTCAAAACTTCCCACAATGCACTTTGAAAAGTAGTGTACATCTATGGTCACTAGACGAGCAGATACATCCCAGAATGCTTTGCAAGTGCTCTCTTCACAAAGCATCATGGGATATTTTTAGGGAAAGAGAGAAAGCAAAGAGGCACTGTGCACTGCACTGTGCAAGGAGCCAGAGTCATGTGACCAACAGTGAACGAAAAATAATGATTATCTGTCAGAACGGCCAGTTACCAAGTTCACTATAAAATCTACTACTAAGCTATGGAGGGGTTAGGGCTGACATTCAGACATAGCCATAGGCTACCAATTTTGTTTGTTTAATTTCATAGTTCATTTTGAACAGAGATTGTGGTTCTCCAAGTCTTGTCTTTGTTTTGAAAGTTTGTCAAAGAAACGTAGACTTTTTTTTTGCATCTTTCTTCATTCGAGATCATTTGATTATTTTGTCAAATCTTAACAGCACTACATTTTTTTATAGCACCAGTCATTTCCGTATACATTCTGTTCCAGGTGTGAGACAATTGAAACCTATAAATGCACATAAGTGGACAGATAAAAGACAAAGACAAGAGGCACCATCCTTCATGTGTTAATGACAGACTGCTGGTGATGAAGTGCCTGACTGTTTAAATAAAAAAGTATTCTATGCAAAATGAAATCTTTGACATCTAGATACAACCGTGGCATATCTTTGAAGAAAAGAAAAGAAACACATTTGCCCCCCATTAATTTACCAGTAGAAATTATGGAAAATATCTTAAAAGGCTGAAGAAATTTTGTTAAAGTTAAATTCAATCAATAAAATCTGGTTCCTTGGAGGTAATATATGAGAAATAGTGGACTAGTTAGAATATTTGTCCAATTTTTTACCCCTGCTGAATTTATTTAGCATTTACCTTAAACTGGACTCCTGTAGCAGGTCAGGCACAACATTAACCAAGGCAATGTAGAGGAAACCCCCGGCAGTGAAAGATAGAATCCAGCTGGAGGAGCTTTCTAAAACCAAATAAAATTATTCATGCATAATCTGGTCAGAAGATTTTCTTAAGATTTCAAATTACTGAATTGTGTGTTAAATGGAATTAAAACTACCAGCAGCTTTGGGTGACTGAGCACAAAGGGCGAAACAAGCTCCCAAGATCCCAGCCAGAGCCGTAAACAGCTGCATCCGGGCGGCACTCCAGTGATCGAACCCAGCTCGCAGCAGAATAGCAAAGTCTCCTATCTGTAGAGGATAACATTGTACAAAGCAGAGAAAAGCAACAAAATTTCTGTTTACAAACACTCCACTAGTCTAATCTGTTAGAAAGCTCCAAGTTATGCAGAAATGTAATTTTAAAAAGTTTAAAAAAACAATCACCTGGACTTTGTTTTTAAGACGTTTCGCTTCCAATCCAGGAAGCTTTTTCAATTCAAAATGTCAGAAAGAGTATTAAGTTTAAAGCTTTACATAGTGGCCCAAAAACAACGGCTTGTTTTGGCGTAGGTAACATGCAAATTGAACCGAACGAACATGTCCGCCCATTAGGAATGGGCAGTCGTTGGGTTCTTTATTAGCCTGCAATACCTGAAACCTATCTATGTCTCTGAAAGGGGGTTGTTTGAGGAAATTGTTGGTTTGGCTAAACAGGCAAGGTGTTCTGTTCCCCTGGATGGGGGCCGCAATGTTGCCCCATACAGGGCAACAGAGTAAAGTCCAGAGGATTGTTTTTAACTTTTTTGGAATGACTATGATCTGGATGACTGAGAATCTTCACCAGCATACGACACTATACTAGTTTACAGGGTGGATGGTAAGTAATTAGATTAACTATTGCCTAAATATTAAAGGAGTAGCTTAAGTATTGCCATCATGAAGCATCACTACTCTTGAGTAAAAGTTTGAGCTGCCCATCAGAGTAACTTGACTGAATCGAGAACAGGTGTGTTATAAACAAAACAAAAAAAAAGAAAAAGAAAAAAGACACAGGAAAAGTGAAAAATGCTGTTGAAATGATTAAGCTTTGATGTTTTATAAATTACTTTTTATCTGCTAAGCCTGCTGTGGCAGCTATAAGTCAAATGAATATAGAGTGAATATTGTCAATCAAGTTACTTTACACAGATCTACCACACAGTATATAGATTAACTACTCTAAAAGCTGATTTCATAAAGGACATTTTGGAAGATTGTTTTTGGAAAAGTGTTTCTTCTGCCAGAATGTATTATTTTGCAATTAAGTTCATATTTGTAAAATTTGTATTTCAACTTTTTTAATAGTGTCTGTATAATTCTATGTTTGTTTTAAATATTAAATTAAATGTTATCAATTAGTATTACTTGAGCAACCTTGTTATCAAATATATATATTTTTAACACATTTCTTGGACGACAGGTTTTCACTGGAGTGAAACTATGCTGAATTAGTACAACTCTTACTTGTGTACAAGTTTTGGGTACTCTACCCACCTCTGCAGGTTTATATAAATACTGTTATCTCACCTCATGAGGGATTTCGTGGAGTAGAATAGCAAAAGTGGTGAGGAATCCAACCTGCAAGAGAAAAATAAACCATTAAAGAAAGGACAAGGTGGTTTATATGGAACACCAACCTGTTTTTCTAAAAAAAAAAAAAAAAAAAAAAGGAAGCCTAGTCTGACCATGTTTATTAAAATGTTTAAGGGCCTTTAAAAGTGGAATGATACGCTTTTTTTAAGCTTTTAACTATACCATTATTAGGCAGGGGCTGGGTACTGGTTTTCTGGTATTTCCCAGCAAAAAAAGTGTCAGTTTCAGAAGTGCTGAAGTTTACTGTCATACTGTTCCTGTGGTATAAGCATTTTTATAAATAAATGTACAGCAGCATAACGCCTTCGCAGTGAAGACAAGCGTCTTTCCTCCAGGTTGAAAAACCAGAAAAAATTTTTTTTCACAACAAATAAATACTCATTAAGATCCCAATATTAGACTGGAATGGAATAAAAAAAGAATGCTGAGTTCACTAAATGATTAACTGTCTTCCTTTTCATTCAAGTTTAATTAACATTGTGTTCGTTGTAGCTTTATTTTTAATATTTTAGTGCAAACACGGTGATAAACAACATAAGTAAACAAAAATTGCTGGTAAAAAATCTTGCAAGCGCATGTTTGAAATATGTAGTCAACTTCCTTTCTGGCAATCTGATCAATACTTCATGCTGTTAGCCTTCTGTCCCTCCAGCTGGACTCATGTCCCAGAACTGCAGATACACGGTAACCTACTGAAGCGGTACAAATCTGTGTCTCTGGAGTTTAAAATGCACCTCCCAAAAAAAGAATGTGAATAGCTTCAGGTCCTCTAACAAGTGATCAGTCAGCGGTCTTTATAATTAGATGACCAGGTTTAGGACAGCTAACTTAGCCTGTATGTAAAGAAAAATGGTGTCCTCACTCTGTTTCCCTCTAAGGCTTTCAGGGTTAAGTATCACAGGGCTCTCTAATCAACTTCCCTTTTCTTTTTTCCTTTTTTTTTTTTTTTTTTTTTTTAAAAACAAAAATGACCACAAAAAATTTATTGCATGAATTTTGTCAACACCTTTTTGCCCCCTCCTTTTCCTTCCTTATCTTCTAAACTGATTCAGATAAAAACTTAGCAGCAGCAACTTCTCCATTTTACTCTTCTGCAAAAAACAAGACAAACTAATTTATCCATCCATACAAAATACCTGCATATATGTCTTTCTTGGACCCATTTTTACATTTCTTCCTCTTAATCATCTGCATCTTCTCCCATTTTTAGTTAGCCACAATGGCTGAAATTACCACTCCACACACACCGAGATCCTCCAAGCTTTCACAGCTAATTGGTGCCTTTTATTTTTGCATGTAACCTTTGAAATACTTTTAAGTTTTCAGTCTCTTTTTGACCTTAGGTAATGAAGCTACCACTTTTACACAAAATCATATATAAAATGAATGAGTTGGATTTTTTAACTGACATTATAAAATTGGGGTGATGAAACTCTGTGAAACAAGTCCTACCTTTTTGCTCACCAAGAAACTTGCAGCTACTGCCAGCCCGTGAGTAAAGTTGTCAATGCAGTTGGCCAGAAGGTTAAGGTACCCACTTGTCTGTAAGACATTGTATGAAAACAAATGTATAAAACCTAAAAAAAAAATGTAAACATTGAGATTTGATGTCATAACATTGTCTATTAATTAAGCTACATTTTCAGGTTAATTCCAAGAGTTTGCTTTAAATGTAGTCTTTAGGCATTCTTTTTAAAGATGCAGTGTTGTGAAAAGTATTTTTCCCTTACTGATTATGTTTACATCAATTTGAATAGTGACACCAAGACCTGATTACTGCTTGGCATGTAGTATCAGGAAACTAGTTAAAGGTATTGGGTGGATTTTCACAAGTATTTGAAAAGACCCTCTCCACAAAATGCACATGCACAACCTTGTACCCGCTCCCGCGAGGGAACGTCTAATAGACGACAGCGAGAGCGTGCATGAGCCCATGTCTCCTTGTGCACGCTCTGTTTAAATGAAATGAAAATGGGGACGAGCACGTAGGACGTCCTTACGTAAACAAATAACCAGAATGATTGCAATTAGGAGAAACACTTATTTTGTTTATCCACCCAGAAAAAGATCATCCTCCACTATACCTTTAACTGGACACAATGAGGAAAATTACAAAAAAAAATTATATTAACGATTGTATAAAAATATGTTTTGGAAAAGTCATGGATAATAGATTGGGAAGTAATTTCTACGACTTTAAGACTGCACTGAACTATAGTGAGAGCCATTATCCACACATGAAGAAACCATACGAAAGTATTGAAACTTATCAGTGGCTAAAAGAGCTGACTTAAGCAAATTTACTCAAAGAGTGCATAAACAACTAATCAAGGAGTTCAGAGAAAAGCTTTGAACATCATCTGGAGCTTTCTGATCTCATGATTCAATCATGATTCAATTCACTGCAAAAACCATCTAGAAATAAGAACAAAATTTCTTAAAATAAGTGCATTTACCCTTAATTTTAGTAGGTAAATAAGACGACTTGCCAATGGAATGAGTATTTCTACTTCTAAAATAAGACAATTAGATAATATTCACTTGAAATAAGACAAAGCAATTGTTTTTTTCTTATTTTAAATGTAAATTGTCTTGTTCCATTGGCAAGGTGTCTCACTTATCTCCTCAATTCAAGACAAAATTCACTCAATTTAAGCAAAAATAACTCATACAGATTTCCATTTTTTGCAGTGAGAGGTTAAACTACAATCTTCCAGATGAAAGTACGACTGATCAAAACAAATTCCCATACACACATTTCCCTTTCCAAAACATTATGGCCAAGGCTTTAGGGTGTTTTGTTTTTTTCAGGCATTTTGCTACACCTGAACCAGACTAACAGGGGAAAAAAAAAACATAAAAAATAAAGCATGGCAGTGATAGCGTGATGGTTTGGGGTAGTTTTGTTTTTCTTTAAAGAAATTAATGATTTACTGCTACTGGTGGAACAAGGAGAAGGAGAATGGGCCACCACCATAAACTTGGTTTATACAGCAGTCCCTGATGCCTGCTAGTAAAGCTCTGAAAGGCTCAAACAAATGAAGGTTTTGCAGTTTCCTCCTGAAGTCAGAACTAAAATCAAAATGAGAGGCTGTGGAAGGACCCTAAACAGACTGTTTTCTCCCCAAAACCCTAAACCATGGATAACAAAGAAGAGTGGGGAAAAAAAATAATCCACACTGATGTAGAGGACTCGGTACAAGCAATTGGAAATTCAAACGATGCTGTGACTAAAGGTGGTACTATGTTTAGCGAGAGCTTACGCTTCCACACACAGGCAGATGGTTTTGGCAGGTTTTTTTCTCTTAATGAAGGGGGGGGAAAAAACTGCATTTTGTCTTTACTCTCATCATTTGCTTAATGATCTGAAACTTCCAAATATTAAGAACAGCAAAAATTATGGAAATCCTTAAGATGACATACAAGTATCTATTTTCCTGTATTTCCACATTGCTGTTTTTAGATGTCTGACCAAAAGAATAAGATTAAATGGGATCATCTCTTAAAGGGAAGCCATATCAAAGTCAAAAGTTTATCCCCACTGTTGCCCTATTTCTGGGATTTGTTTCGGTTTTCAGAATTACCTTAATTTTCTCTGAGGTGTCTTGCTGAGTCTGTCGCTGGAAGGATTTCCACGCCTCAGCATGGTTTCCATTTCTGAGTGATGTTTCTGCTTTGACATTTATAGCTGAATTTGACTGTGGAGAAAAATAAAATGTGACTTTTATAAAACATGTGCGGTCACCAAAACATACAAACATATGTCAGTCATTTTCAAAATGTCTCCCCAACTGAATCAAAAAGCTCCCAGTGTAACTAGTCAGAAAAAAAGCAATTTAAATGGAATGTAATTAGTGCACTGCAGCAAACAGATGTTTCATTGTTGGTTTTGAGCTGTGCTAAAATGATTCAACTACAGTCAAAACCAGATGACCATTATATTTATCTCAACTAGGGCTTCTGTTTTCTGAGAATAGCCAACTTCCCTGTTCCATCATTTAGAAACCACTTGTGTTGCCATTTGGCCTGATTGTCTGATAAAGCAAGAAGGAAATAACCTGCGGTCCTCTGCTCGCCGCAGAGAAATGTTTTCTCCATCTCTGTGACTGAAGCTTGGGGAAGTAATGAAGTGTGATCAATTTTAGAGCTATTAATCATCTCCAACAGATTGGAGCTAAATTGTCGTTGCAGAGGACTGTGCAAACACCCATGTATAAATGATGCATTGTTCCAAAGCACTGGCATAATTCATGACAAAATGTTTTCAGCTCATTGCTGTCTTTTGGTAAAATTAGCAAAAGCACTAATGTTTAAGGAGAAAACCCTTAAGGCCTTTTAATCTCTGTCCATTTCTATTGTTGCCTCTTCCTAAAAGTGCCGTTCCGGCGGACACTGAAATGGCTGAAGCAGCTGCTTCATCCCTTGCACTAAAAATAGACACAAGTAGAGGGGCTGAGACATGGATTCCAATCTTCTCCCTCACTGGCATAAAAAGGCAGGATGGAGCATGTATTCTGCTTTACAAAAAACACTGCAATAAAGCGTTTTGATCAAAGCTAGGAAATATATATATATTTTTAAAGTGTGACTAAATGTGATTAGAAAGCTTTCCTTTAGTAAAATAGATGCATGTTAGACTTGGCATCTCTTTATGAATAAATAGAGGAAAAAAATGTAAATAGGAACGTCTGTTTCAAATCTGTAAGCTCCAAATTCAGCACCCTGTGAGGGTTAATCGGCTCTGCGATAAATACACTTCTTTTGCTTTTAGCCTTTGACTGGATGACAGGACTGAAGTAGATGATGCACCTGGGTAAATATACACAGAGTAAGCTGCAGGATACAATAGAAGAGTACAAACACTGGCTATTAGGAAACCAGAGCAGTCTGGACATATCCGCCTAAAGTATCATTTCAAACATCTTTTGTTTGGATTTCAAAAAGCAGAAGGCTCAAAATTAAACTGACATTTGTTTTTTTGCACCATTTAAAGACAGGCAAAAAAAAAAAAAAAAAAAAATCAGAATGGATTCCATCCAAAATCTATAACTATGGCTGTAAACTCCCAGGCGTTTGATGGGTCATCTGATTTGACAGCCATCAAAACACCACTGACAGATGTGCAGAATTAAGCATTCTAGTATCTGCACAAGGCATGCCAACCAGAGTAAAAATATGTAAAGGCTTGTGTTGACATGCAGTATACAGAGAGATTGCAAAGATACTTACAGAGAGATTAAAATTCAGGTCTGAATCTGGGGGGGCATCCTTGAGGCCGTCTTCATCTGGGAACAGTTTCTCCAGCAGGTGGAAGGCAAACAGACCGATGATTACCCACAAGCCCTGGGTCATGTAGTGGTTGTGTTTACTAGCTGTAAAAGGCGGCAGACAGACTGTAAATATGTGGGCATGAGATGTACACTAGAGATATGTTGCTACAACCAAAACTCTGCTTCTAAACACTGCCACAGTCTTCAACAAAGCAACATGTAAATGTCTTTTTTTTCAGAGGAAAACACATTAGAATATGAAAGCATTTATAAAAGGGTGCCTCTGAGACCCACCTTGAGGGCCAGAGAGCGCCCACGCCTCAGGAAGGAGGTGAAGAAACACATCACCTAGGAGACCACCAATAGCAAAGCTCAAGAGCTGCTTCAGCTTTTGGCATCCAGCTGGCAAAGAAACACAGTACCAATTATTGCAAGCAATGGTTAAAACAGATCTCTTTGCTTTTTTAGCTTCAAATGCTGCTTATAAAACACTGCAAAAAATCTAAATCTAGATAAGTCATTTTTTCTAAAAATAAGTGCATTTGTTCTTGAATTGAGTAGGTAAAAAGATACATTTTGCCAATGGAACAAGACAATTCACAGCCAAAATAAGAAAACACAGTTGAATTCTCTTATTTCAAGTGCATATTATCTAATTATCTTATTTTAAGAGTAAAAATACTCATTCCATTGGCAAACTATCTAATTTACCTACTCAAATTAAGGGTGAAAAGACTTAATTTAAGAAATTTGTACTTATTTCTAACTCGTTTTTGCAGTGAAATAAATACAAATTTAGGGCTTTATAAAGGGATCTCGATAAATTGGCATCTTGTATTTTAGCTCGCCTGTTGTCACTTCAACATATGAGGCACTTCAATGCACAAAAGCTTATTTGGCTCAACATGTTGACATTACCAAAATAACACAGGCACTCCACGGAAACTTTAACCTTGGAGCGTTTCCTTCTCTCACACTAACTTCTGGTTAAGCCTGCTTTTGTCTGGCCTCAGCCTAAAATAAATCTGAAATGACACGTTGGTGTGGGTGGGGCCCAGTAAAAGTTTCAGCCCTTCAGCCTCACCTAAAGAGGCTTTAGCTGGGTCATTAGAGTGCAAGGATAAGAGAACTCTACAGCATATCATTTTTAAGTTACAATTGCATTATATACATATTTGAAGTCTAAAAGGAGTGATTAGTACATGTATAAATAATTTCCCAAAATTGTTGAACTCTGTAGCTTTAACTGACCAGCAGGTTCAATTTCAACAGAAAGCCCTTGTGTGTTTAGCTCTAGTATTATTATTATTACATTATTATAAAACTTCAGTTTAAAAGCTAATGAAAACTAGCTATAACAAGTACAAACCCTTATGCATTTTTTATATTTTTTGAAGAACACAGTGCAGTTTTGCTTGTTGCATGCTGCAGCTACATCTATAGAAGAGGGAACTCTTCAACATAGCACAGGATCGTCATAAAAAAAAACTAACCAAAAAAAAAAGCTGTAAACTTGCATCACTGCAGTGCCAACTATTAGGTTTTCTGCCACATTTAGGAAGTGTGCAGCGGTGTTCCTTTTTTGCCTCTGCTAAAAGTTTACTTAAAGCTGCTTACTATATAAAATTCTGGATGCAGCTGGGTTTTTGGCTAACTGCCTATTTTCCAGAAGAAACAACTGTTGATCCCAGTGGAGGACATTTATCAGGGATTTTCAATTTCAAAACATTGATTGATTGACTGATTGACTTTATTGATCACAGTGGAGAAATGTACTCGTTACATCAGCTCCATTAGTCAAAGGAGAAAAATGCGCCAAAGGAAGAAAAAGGTGCATGGGATATATAAAGTGTGTCCACATATGACAGCATTTTGTACCTTTTTTTTTTTATAGTAGGGTTATTATACAAGGATTATTATTATATTGGATTATTTTAGAGTGAGGAAGGATACTTGGAAGATAAAAACTGTTGCACTAACTTTACAAAACAAATAAGAATCAAGAAAAAAACAGAAGAACTATGAACTATTACATATTTTCATTTTCTTTTTTAAACAGTAGCAGGTACGGATGACCTCCCTTATACCAACTCTTTAGGAATCATAAGAAACAGAAAAAAAGCAGTATGCATCCGTCATGTTTGTTATCCAAAAAAATAAATTAGGAATCTTGATTACTTTTCTGCAGCCCTATCTTTATGAATCCAATAAATGGATTCTTCATCTTTTAGATGTGTCAAATAGCAGCCCAGTTTCTACCTTTTCCTTGCTAGGATTTCCAAAAATGATCAAAAGAGGAAATTATTTTACAATCAATATTAGTTTCCTTTCTGCTTTGCTTCTCTTATTAATTATCTTGTTTTGGGAATTTGGAGTCATTATAACAACTATAGATGCAGAAAGCTTGAACCAAATGGCCCCAAAGTTGCAGCATAAAGAACTTATATGAAAGACGTTAAAAATGAGGGCTGCACCTATATAGACATATATAGAATGCACATATATAGAATATAGACTGTTGTTGCAATTTCACCATTCATTTGCTCTTTATAGTCCTACTAAAAAGGTCTCAAAATCACTTAGCAGAACAGACACATAAATGCAAAAGAAACGTACCAACTCATCTGTAGAAAACATTAGACAATATAGAGAATATATGCAACACATTTGGTGGTCAAAAGAGGAACATCTCTTTACATTAGAACTGAAACAATCTTTAAATACTACTCATTTAAAAAAAAAAAACAGTTAGCTATCGGGTTAGTGATTAAATGAAAACCTAGCTCAGAAAAAAAAAATGAGAAAAAAAAAGACATTTCCATTTCCTACCTTCAGTCTTGAGGGCAGCTCCTGATTCAAAAGGAATAACAAGCAGAGGGAAAACTCCACTAAGGCCTACAGCGACTGAGCCAACCAGGGACAGGAACCATACATGCGTGAGTTCACTGGTAAGAAAATCTGTGACCGCCTGGAGGCCTGGGAGGTCATCTGCCAGACTCGGGCCTGGTCCAGCTGCTGTAGCCGTTGCATGAGCCATAGAGGTTTGTGACATCTTCTGGCTGCTTGATGCTCCCCTGAAGGTCAGCAACAGCAGAGCAGCGGGGAAAAACAGAGCAGCAACAGCCCAGCTGGGCCTCCAACCACTTCTACCTTTCATCCGTCCCCCTGCCCAAAAGACACTTGGAGCCAGTGATGCTGTAAGAGAGGAGAAAGCCAAGACAAGAATACCATTAAACTACAATTTTTAAATTAATTTATTGGCCATGTTCAATGGGCTGAATTCTAATGCCAATAAAGGTAGAAGAAGAAAGAAAAACTGTCTAAGCCTCTTGTTTACTACAACCCCCCAAAATAACAGTTTAGAGCCAAAAGTTTCTGTGGAAAAGCTGACGACATACATCTAAGGTTCTGGTTGTTTGTATCAAACACGCGGATCTTTGTGCAAAACTCAGAGCTCACAGTTTTGCTCCAACCTGATGAAATCTCTGTGGATGACAGAGACTGTCAAAGAAAACTACAAGCATGTCCCTGGTTTTGCCGTTGATCTGACATGCCTTCCACTGTCTTTGACAAGGCCTTTCCACTGAAGACTGTTTTTGCTCTCCATATTGCCAGCATCCAAATCTCTCTCCAAATCCCCAGATTCTAGAGAAAAACACGGATTTCAGCGCAGAATAAAGTCTCTACTGCAACTACTCACAGTAGTATTAAACATCATTCTATATTAGTTAATAAGTTTTTGAAAATTTTTATATTTCAATGTAGTCAACACTAAACAATACTTAAAGAAACTCCTTTGCAGCAATAAAAAAGCCATTCCCTCCTTGCAGCTGCTCCCCTAACCAAAACAATGAGTTTCTGCTAATATATCAGCCAATCTGCTAATATGAAGAATGCATTAACATCGTGTCTCTTTAGTGACCTAGGTGAGCAGAAAAGCTCTCTCTGAAGAGATACTCAAACCTGTAAGGCTGAGAAACAAGAAAAAAAGAAATGCCTACATATGCCACCTGCACTTAGGAGTGCATCTTCACACTATGATACCAATTTTGGCGAGTAACTTAAGACCGTATAAAAACTCCTGTGTCTGCAACTGTGAAATAGTAAACCTGATCCACTCAGGCTTTCTGATTAAACATGAGCTTCATGGACATAAGATGCCTGATGATGGGGGTCCATCAGCGCTAACCGCTAACTCTAACTGGTTCAGATGCTCAGCATCACACAATACTCTATTCAATTCAGGTAAAATAATAATAGAAAAAGTTCACAAGCTAATGGCTTTATCAACTTCTAAATAGTGAATTGATGAAACACACCACTGCATACCCAACAGTATTCGTCTGGATGGTTATAAAGATATTGCAGGCTAATATGGCCAACAATAACAGAGTTTATTGTGGAGTCAGGATGAAGTAGATAACTAGAGCAAGAAAAAGTCAAAACTGGCAGCTACCTGTGCTGCTGCTGTGGTTGATCCCTAAAGAAAATAACCAAAAGTACCAGGAAGATGGAAATGGTATTTGGATCCTATATAGGAAAACAATGTTGTTGTTTTTTAACTGTACCCACGTTCAGTTTGTAGATAACTTATCTTTTGTATAGAATGATGCTTAATTTTCCTCTCAGTGCTATGATTTTTTTTTGTAATGGCAGCACAGTGACAAGTACATGGTAGGCCAGTTTTCATATTCTCTGTGAAATGAAGCAAATTGTTCCTTTAACAAGTTCCTCGTCAAACTGACATGCAACGTTTGTTTTTAAAACCTAATGTGTCTAACTGACCCAGTGAATTTTTTTTTTTTTTATGCACAAAACTAAAACGAAATCTAACTAACTCAGGAAATGAAACAATGTGATTGGCTGTAAGGAGAACGGAGACAGGGGAGACTCAAAACCTTCTCCTGACCAAGTTAGCTCTGGGGAGAATGTTACTATGGTGAAACAGGGGTTTAGGAAACTCTCTTTGTGAAATGGAGAAATCAGTTTCCCATATGTCAGGTTTAGAAAACTTTTACTGAGGAGTTTACTGAAGAGTTTTCAGTAAACCTGCTTTGTGAAATGGACCCCAGGTCGCAAACTTAGCCTGAACCAGGAGGTATGATTTGTATGTGTATTTTTAATTAATTAACAGCAGAATTCACAAATGCTTACCATAAAATGCATAAATTCAAACTTCAGAATTCAGAAGTGTGTAAACATTTTCTTAAGTTTACACTATGCATACAAACTATGTGCTGCTAATAAACCAAACCAGGAAGTGTGCATGCTCAAACGGCCAGCTGCAGACAATGCAAGGAACAGCTTTCCTCTGCTTGCTACTTTTTTGTACAGTGAGATGATTCACAAATGAGATGATGGGTTCAGGGCAGGAAAAAGGCTCAGATATCTCAGCATTAGTCGATTTACTGGAAACACCCCGTTATTTAAAAATCCTAGCTCAACAACCACTCTATAAAAAATATGCCATTACATAATCATTCCATTTAGGCGAAATCTAAAAAATGGTTTAGACTGTCCCCTTTTTGTGGAAGAAAGGCCTGGACAACATATTGGACAGGGGACTCAGCTCTGAAGCAGTTTATGAAGACTGTACTTCTCGAGAAAGCTTAGTTTGCAGCAAGATGCTGAATAACTTCCATAAGGCTGATGTGGAGAGTGTGATTCCTTCTGCCATCATCTATGGGCTAGCAGCATCAGAGCAAATGACTAAAAGAAGTTAAATAAGCCAACAGAAAAGATTGGCTCTGTTCTAGGAACTTCTCTGGAGGTAATTTTACAAAGAAGAATTATTCTAATTATGAATAAAATTACAAATTATCTCAGCATTTTTTTATCAGACGAATGAAAAACAACATGTTCTTCAGACAGAAGCTCTGCCAGATGTGAAGTAAGGCAGGCAGTTACAGGATATCATTCCTACCAACAGCCATTACCATTTACAATATCTCACGAGAAAGACCCTGATAGGAGTTACAACAACATAATGTTTCCTTTTGGGAACATATTTTGAACTGAATAGAATGTTTTTCAAAAATAGTAAGAATATAGCACTTTATTTAAAGTAGAACATTAAAAAAGAATAAGTAAATGTATAAATATAAATATATTATGAATATAAAAAATGTATGAAGTATAATAAATAAACTAGGTCCAGATGTTTCAAAAGGATTTTATCTATCATATTTAGAGGCTCAGAATGCAAGTATAGAGTGCAAACAGAAACTTAAAATGTACATATAGAAACACAAAAGAAGCATCCTAGAGCACACTCTTGAAAAGTAACCCGGAGGAAATAGAACAAAAAACACACACCAAAGTGGCTTTAATTTTGAAAAACATTTAGAGATATTCTTCATACATTTCATTCTTTTAAAATGAAAAAAATAAAAAAGAACAAAAGACCTGAGATTAATGGTTGTCATCTATGTGTCTGAGGACCTAACTTTGCAATTCTCATCAATAATAAGGACGTTTTCACATCAACTTTAGGAAAGGAGAGAAATAATGTAAAGTTTACCCCCTTGAATGCTGGAAACAACGTTGGAAATCCAAATGACGGTTTGGCTGCAAAAGATGAGAAAAGAATTTTCAGTGAGAGTTGAAAGCACAGCAGGAGGGCTAGTAGATAAGTAAATACATTTCATCCATCACTTATTGATCACAACTGCCCCATTTTCAGGCAGACCATAATTCTATAAAATAATATGTAACATCAGAGCTTGGTTTAGTCAATATTGCCGTCATAACCTTTTTTTCACAGATTTGACATCAAGAGGTGAATTGAAAACGAAATAATAATATATAACACACACATTTATGTGCACTGGACTTTAAATAATATTCCTTCTTTACAGACTTGAGAAAACTAAAACTTAATCAAACTTTATTTAGATTTTAGTCCTGAATATAAAACCTAAAGATTTTAGCCATTATTCGGTGTAAGTTCTGACATTTTCTATTTATATTTTCCTTCACTGTTGATGCTCAAGCAGTTGAAAGATGTAGTTTGATTAAATTATATTTGTATTTAAACTATCTAGACTTAAGTTGGACAACTTGATTTCAGTGAAGTTGAGTTTTGAGAAAGAAATCCAGATGTTTTCCCACCAGACCGAACATCAAATGGCAAACTGGCTGCAATTTAATAAAAACAATTTAATAGTGATTAATAAAAAAATTTAAAAAAGACAGAAAAAACACAACAGCTTTTATCTAATTAGTTATTAGATAAATGTTATATCAAAGTGAACGTCAGAGCATATAAGGGAACAAAGAAATGTACTTGTTGTATTTTTTTTTTTAATCCAAGTTCCAGATTCAGAGTTATCTGGAACAAAGCATAGGTGACAGTAGGAATCAATATTTATTGAGTGGTTTATCACGGTGAGATTCAGCTCTGGTTGGGAGTCTCCAAAATGTAACCAAGGGTTTTAATTTGAAAAACTCAAATAAGAAACTTAGAATTTTAAGTTAGTATTTAAACAATTATTACAAACTAGGGCAATCAAAGATCACCTACAATGATATATTGCATATATGCAAGATAACATGTTTAAATGTAACCCATCAAAACAAATGCAATGCACTGATTTAATACAGATACGAGGCGGAGACAGAAAGCTCCAGAAGAAGCAGACTTCTATAGTCACACCTATTTATACTTTTATTTTATTTTATCCCATTAACTTTTCAAGTGTGTCCGACCGCTGTGCAGATTTATATCTTTAATAAACGGTCTCAATTATTAAGTATGCTGTCGGAAAGCTAGCAAAACACGTGGAGTAAATGTTGATAAAAACAGCTAAACTGTTGCAGTGAAAACAAAAATGTACGCCGCGAGGCTAAAGTGATGAAAAAAGTTATTTAAAGTAGATTTATGAAGTGGTTGATGTGGTAAGCAGCTCTGGAGTCTGCAGCTCTAAGTTAGCAGGCTAACAGCAGACATTCGAACAGTTTGCTAAAGGAATTAGCTCATCAGACACGTAGCGACGCAGCAAGTAAACCGTTAAGGATCTTTCTGACAGCTAGCAGCAGTTTCATAAACTTCTTACCATTCTTAAAAAAACACCCAATAACAACCTAAAGAAGGAATATTTGTGTGCATACCTCGTGGTTTCGAAAGTCTGCGCACCAGTGTGTCCCTGCCATCCAGACCTTGATGGAAAAACTGCCGGACTTCCTGCAGATTCCAGCGGCTGCTGCTGCTGCTGTAGGCAGACAGGGATCCACAGCGCGGCTCTCCCAAACAGCCACGTATCAGGAACATGAGGGGGAGCACCAGGGAAAACACAAACACCAGAGGGGAGTCTCAGCATGGAAACCCGCCCCTACAAGGATTTCAGGAAGTATCCTATGAAAACCTCCAAAGCTAACACAGCTGAAGGAGTTTTTACTAAAAGACATTACTAATAAAACAAGCTTATACCCAAATAAGTACATATTGGTGTTTCAAAAAAGCATGAAATAAATAATGTATTAATCATTTTATGTGCACATTAATAGTGTAGGTAAGTATTTCATCCTATATTTATTATTCATGTTACAATATAAATCCACAGTACATTCAGGGATTAAAATATTAATAAAAGGGTTCTGTGGGTGCATATAGGACTGGGGGGGATTTATAGTGAACCTTTCCCACTACGTTAAGGAAGTTAAAAATGTATGTACTGTTATTTAAAGTGCAGCACTATTGAATCCTAATCAGAAGTCGTCTCAAGCAACCAGACTAATATCAGTGGTGTCAAAAGTACACACATTTGTTATTTAAGTAGAAGCATAGATAGTGCAGTTTAAAAACACTCTGGTAAAAGTATCAACTTGACCTCTTTACTCAAGTAAAAGTGAAAAAGTATGTGCTCCAAAAACTACTTAAAGTATAAAAGTATAAAGTAACCTTTAAAAAAAACAGCCAGATACCACAATATGAATTGAAAGCTCAATTTTTCCACTATTTGAAAAAAAAAATTGAGATAGGGCTAAGGATGAGGGAGGTCTTGTTGGTCTCCATCTCCCGATACGCTCTCGCCTGTGTCCGACCTTTCAGACATTTCAACATCTTTTTCTGAATCCAACATTTTAGCATGGCGTAGACAATTCGCATTTGCAGTTTGAAGAACACCTGCTTGCTTCTGATGATTTCCTTTAACTAACCAATGAGTGTTTGCATTATATGACTCATCCAATTACACTAGTTTTCACTAGATGGGGATGGTGCAAATGATCTGCATTGGATGGCACACATGACGTGAAATAAATATTTATAAACATTAAACCAAAGCCAAATGTAACAAGTAACGTTTGTTTAAAAAATGTAAGGAATAGAAAGTACAGATACTTGTGTAAAAATGTAATGAGTAGAAGTCAGAAGTAGGAAGAAAAATAAGTAATGGAGTAAAGTATAGATACCTAAAAAGTACAGTAACAAAGTATTTGTAATTCGTTACTTGACACCTCTAGCTAATATCCCCAGCCCAACATAGGATTCATATCTGCTAATAACTCACATAAAACTAGCTCAATTAATTGGGAGAAATCCGATTTTTTTTGCGTTGCCTTTCACATTTCCAGATATATGCGACTTGTATGTGATCTGCTGTGTAAACTGCATTCATACAGTGTATGTGTCCCGCATGCACAGTAGAGGATGTAATGAAGTCACAAGCCAGCGTGCTTCGTGTTTACGGAGGTAAACATGGATGTAGTGCTGGAGCGGATCTAACGATCTTTCCAAACCTTAAATACCTCAATCTTTTCAAGATGGTTAAAATAATACTGCTCTCCACATCATTGTCTGCCATGGTGTTTGTTTTTTCTTGCCGTTTCTGTGTAGCAAGAAGCAGAATAGTGACCTTTGTCGGTGACTAATGGCGTTCAGGTCGGATAAATGCGACCTGGTCGTTCAGACACAGGTCGCAATTGAAAAGATCAGATTTGTAGGACCACATAGCCAAGTGGCCTGGGCTGGATTGGAAAAAAATCGGATCTGTGTTGTTCAGACTGTCATGAAAAGATTAGATCCAGGTCGTATGTGGGCAAAAAAAAAAAATCGGATTTGGGTCACTTTAGGCTGCAGTGTGAATGTAGCCTTAGACTCTTCTTAAACTATCTTAAAAACAGGGGGGAAAAAAACTAAAATCAGAGTGTGGTGTGAGGGGGCCATGGAGAAACTCCAAGATTGTTTTGAATGCTCTGACTGGAATATGTTCAAAGATGCAGCAACCTATGACAACAAGATAAATATAGATGAGTATGCCATTACTGTGTCAGCCTACATGAACAAATACATTGAGGACGTCAGTATCTCAAAGAACGTGTGCCAACTTAAACAGTGCCATCAGATCAGCGAAGCAGAACCACAGCCAGAAAATCCAGGATTTTTTCCACAACGTCAGCAATACCAGGAGGACGTGGCAAGGAATACCTGCGATCACAGACTACAACACTCACACCCCTCCGGTAGATGCAGCAAATGCTGACTTCCCAATCAGCATCACTTTCCATTGTCTCATAAGCTGGCTCAGGAGATAATCAACCCAATGTTACAGGGGTAAGGATAAAACCTAAGTAATATATGCTCTACCACATACTACCATCATTACAGAAATCCCTAAAAAAACTATCCAATAGAAATCCCCAAAAAATCATTTTAATTGTTTTCTAGATGGATAAAGTCCTGTGGTTGACTTCAAGCTATTCGCTTTTGAAATTTGTAAAAAAAAAGTTCTAGCAGATATTAACTTCACTTTTATCCACTGCTATTACTGTTTCTAAACCAGGCCTTTCTGTTAAAAGCTGAAGGCCAGCTACTGGGTGTACGTACAGACACAGAACAGATATTCATCATGCTCCCAATCCGACTTATTATTGCTTCAATGCACAAGGCTGGAAGGAAGTAGCAACATGACGGATAAAAGGGGCACAAAAACAAATCAAAGTAAATTTACATGAAAAAGAACATAACCAGGTGTTAAAATATGACTGTATAGTTAAATATATTTGAGATTTAAGAATGACTGTGAGTTCACAACATTTTAACCCACATATGAAAACAGGTTGCAACAAAAATAAAGACATTACACACCAGATGTATTTGTACAGCCTGTATAAACAGGCTGTACAGTGATGGAGTGGGTAGAACTGCTGCCTTGCAGCAAGAAGGTTCCAGGTTTAAATCCCGGCCTGGGGTCTTTCTGCATGGAGTTTGCTTGTTCTCCCTCAGCATGTGTGGGTTCCTTTCAGGTATCCGGCTTCCTCCCACAGTCTAAAAACATGGCTATTAGGTTAATTGGCTTCTCTAAATTCTCTTTAGGTGTCAGTGTGTGCATGAATAGTTGTTTTCTCCTGTTTATCTCTGTCCAGGGTGTACCCCTCATTTTGCCCATTGACAGCTGGAGATGGGCACCAGCGACACCAGCTGGGATTATATATATATATTTATAAAGAGTTTATCCTGAGTGATCTCTTCTCAGGAAAAGAACTATAGAGATCACAGAGCTTTCCTTTACAAGAGAAACTGTAAATGATGTTGGAAATTGTACTACAAGATGGAACAAATTTGCAGCCAGTTGCGGCCAGTTCTCTTCCTGGAGGTTTTGGTAAGTCCAGTTGTTTTAATATAAATTACCTTTTCAAGCTTCTGTTAATTTACAACATTTAAATAAAATGAAAGCACATTTTGGGTGAGATCATGAATAAAAA